GCTGCCTAGAACGCGCCTACTAATTGCAGAATGGAGGAGAAAACTGGTGGCAGTTCAGGTGTTAAGGAATTCGGCTGAATTCTCACCGATAACCGTAAAACCATAAGACTAGTCACGGTTGGATTAATGTCTCATTTGAAATTAACGGAAACGTGACTTTGTAGGGGTTTGTTGATAGGATGCAAAGTAGAAATGAAAATCGCCCTAATATTTTTCACTCAGCTAGTAGTGTTGTGAGATAAGAACGTTTCGCCATCACGGTGTTAGGATCTGCATTCGTGCCTGCGTATAAATTATGCAAGTAAAGGATTCCAGAGGAGGTTACGGGAAACAAATGAAGACAGGCTACTTCACCAAGAGAAATTTTAAGTGTTTCTCTTGCCACAAGCAGTAATACGCATTACGTTTACGAAGCCAAGTTTTATATTAGAGTAATTACCGACCGATGGCTCTCACTACTGTAAGAGACCAACCACATGTGAGTGGTCATAGTATACCTTGCCGTGATTACACTACAAATTCACGCTTATATGTAGTGTTATGCCCTGACACATAATAAAAGTGGTTGAGAGAAAATGAAGGTGGTGGAAACTTCATAAAGCCATCTGGGTTCAAACAGTAGGCTATTGTGTAAACAAGATATGCATTCTGCATAATCAGATGATTCCGATAATTGGCATTTGTAGCTTATTCGTGGCCTATTAAAGATGATAGAATGTGCAGCTAGATGTAACACAATTTTCAGGTCTCATTTTTCGTCTGTTTTGGCATTGCCAGTGAACGCCACTGACCCACTGGAGATTCGAAGCAGATGGTAGAGGCAAATAATTCCCCAAAATTATTGACCACAGTACTCATCACTGAACACTGGATACTGACCCTCACTGTTTAAATCGACTTGTTTAGCCAAAGGCTTCCGGTCAAGCATATACACCATTTGGTACTCTGTCGTGTCATGTTCGTGCACGATCCCTAGCCAGCTAAGCAATCATCTCGCTCTCCGATTTAGTCTCGAAATATATCGTAATTTGGACGATCAATTGTGGTGTTTTGTTCTGGCTTTGGTCTACGCGGAAGGAATACTATAGAAGTTGTGGGTATTAGATCTATCCATAAACGTCAATGCCGCCAGCCTCCCTGTTTCAGTGTTTACGCTCTGTTATAGACCGTATTATCGTATCCGTCATATTTCCAGCAGCGCTAGCATAGACGCTTGATTGTGCGATAACCGCTGCTACCCTAGAGAGTTCATTGACAAAAGCGGTTGGGTCCAGTCTTTCTTGATGGATCTGTGGAGATTGAAAAAAAAGTATTTTCAGCTTCACTATGAAAATTTACAAGTAAATCTACAGGTTTTTAATGAACGCGTTCAGTGAATTCAAGTTTGACTGGGTACAAATCTCGCAATCGCCGTGTTATTGTACATAGTTTACAGTTTACAATTTATTTAGGATAGTAGGCTATATGCCTGTGTTAATCCTTTCGATTTATTGCACACAGGAGGTCCAATCTCGCCTTGAATGATTCAACGGATGGCGCTGATACGACGTGTTCCGGTAGGGAGTTCCAATGGTTCACAATTCGATGCGAAAAACGGATCTCCAAACGCAGACCGTGGTTTTTGAACCTTGAGGTGATGTCCTCGCAATTGGTTGGTGCTAGAAGGAAGAAATAATTTAGATAAATTAGCTCCAAAATCATTTCTTAGGATACGGTATGCTAGTATTAGGTCACCCCTAAGTCGTCTGTATGACAGTGGAAATAAACCCAGTCGACTTAACCTCTCCTCATATGACAGGGTTGAGAAACCCTTTATTAGCTTAGATCCTACTCTTTGCACCCTTTCTAATAAGTCTATTTCGTATTTGAAACACGGGCTCGCTGCCTGGATCCCATATTCCAAATGAGGTCTGATATAAGTCGGATATAATATACGAAATATATCAGCGTCAAAGTTCGCAAAAGCCTTGCGTACGGCCCACAACATTCGAAAACCCTTAGTGGCTGCAGTTCTACAGTTTGTTGCTGTTTTTAAGTCATGCTGCACAACCACTCCCAAGTCCTTGTACTTAGTGACCACTGGGAGATTAATGCCATTCATTGAGTAATTGTGCACGTGACTATGAGATACATGCATAACTACACTCTTGCTTAAGTTAATCTCCAAGGCCCAGTGCTTACACCAATCACTTAACAAGTTTAAATCTTCCTGCAAAGCAAGTTGATCACTGTCATCGTGCAAAGCCCTCCATATCTTGATGTCATAAGCAAACAGTAAGCAGGATGACTTAACTACCGATGGAATCTCATTAACATAAATCAGGAAAATAAGTGGGCCTAGAATTGTACCCTGAGGAACGCCACTCTTAACCGATTCCCATGTTGATAAAACCCCGTTAACTCGTACTCTTTGTCTTCTGTCCTTTAGAAAGTCTTGAATCCAGTCGGTAACCACTTTATTGATTCGCAGACTACCTAACTTTACTAGAAGACCTGAATGAGAAACCCTGTCAAACGCCTTGCTAAGGTCTATGAATATGGCATCCACCGGTATATTAGCATCAGCTGAGCTTGCCCAACTTTCTCTGGCCAAAAGAAGGTTGGTCAAGCAAGAATGACCTGCTCTAAAACCGTGCTGTTCCACAGCGAAAAGTTTGTTCCCTTCAATGAACTGAATGATAGCATCACGAATTATTCTTTCTAGTAGTTTAACAACAATACCGGTCAAACTAACAGGACGATAGTTCTGAACTAAGTTTCTAGATCCGGTTTTGAAGACCGGACTAATGATGGCATCTTTCCGGTCTCTTGGACATTTAGACTGGTCCAGCGACATATTGAAGATTACCGACAATGGCTCAGCTATGCTTTCAGCCAATGCTGTTAATATACGTGGGTGGAGTTTTTTCAGAGCCACTGGACTTACCAGGATTGAGCCTTAGAAGCCACTTTAGGACAGTATCGTTTCCAATGTATAAGGGTGCCATTTTCAAGTTACCTTTTGGAAAATTTACAAAGCTGGTATCAATATTATCAGAGAATACTTGACTAAAGTGCTTGGACAAAGCCTCAGCCTTAGTTAAGTTATCCTCAGCCATGTTTGTCTGGTCAACTTCAAGCATAAGAGGTGGGATAGCATCACTCTTACGTGTTCTTCTCTTGATATATTAGAAGAGTCTTTTTGGGCAGCCTGGTGAACTTTTAACTAACTGGGTTTCGTAAGCTATCCTTGACTGGTGGATCAAAGTTTTACACTGGTTTCTGGTTTCACAGTATTTCAGCCGGAACTGCTGTAGCCCAGTAGAAACAAAGAGATTCCAGAACCTTTTTCTCCGTCTCAGGAGTGTTATAGCTTGTCTATTTATCCATGGTGGCCGATTTGTTGGCCTTTTAGGAACCCTCCAGGGGATGAGATCAGTGGTAACCCTCTCAAGTGTATTCTTAAATCTATCCCATTCATCTTCAATGGATGAGACAATGTTGACTGACCAGTCGGCAGTTGAAGCACGCTCCTTTATAGCCACTATGTCAGCATGCCAAACACTAGGCCGGGATTTGGGTTGAAAACTGACTAAATTGCCAGCCCTTAAGTTAAAATCTAACACCCCATGATCACTGTTTGCTAGAGGTGGATGAATAACTAGACCATCCACGTCGTCGTTGTCATGAGTAAGCACTAAGTCCAGCAAAGAAGATCCTTGGGTAGAACCGAATCTTGTACTACCTAAGACATGTTGTGTCAGGGCATTTTCCATGGTAGTCAAGAGTAACCGGCTGTCAAACTTATCAGCGGATTCTGGAGATGTGACAGCTACCCAGTCTATATGAGGTGCATTAAAATCACCTAGAATAAGACAGCTGCTGTGTTTACTCCATTGTTTGAGGTGATCTAAAATGAAGTCATCACACTGACAATAGGGACTTCTATACAGAACTCCAATGAGTAGAGTGCCGGTTGCAAAGCTTACTTCACAGCTAATTACCTCACCTGTCCCACTGTCATGAGCTTCAGATTTCAAGCAACGAACATGTAGGGAGTTGTTGACGTACAGAGCAACCCCGCCACCTCTACGACCCTTAACTCTGTCGCTGCGCAAGCAACTAAATCCGCATAGCTCAGGTGTGTCATCTAATCCCGAAACCAGCCATGTTTCAGTAATGGCCACAATACCTGGGCTAAGGTCTTCTACTAATACACCTAGCTCGTGAAATTCATTCCCGATACTACGTATATTAGTGTACACTACCTTCAGGCTTCCTATGCGGTCTGGCTTATCCACACAGGTCTTGGAAGCATACGTTTCCAAGACCTGACTATTTGAAAACCCACCAGTTTAAGGTTAGTCTCACATGAACATGCATGAAATCTTAGAAATCCGTAGATGAGTAAGAATATTTCTTTGTGTTCTGAGATAAGTAGAGGGCTTCCATACCAAATTTTCCTTTGAATGACAGCAGTGAGATGAGTGCTGCAGTGTGGCGTACTTATTCAGAAATTGTCTAGTTACTGCATTATCCTTGATTCCCGAAACTGCTGATTTGAAGACGATTGGATTTAGGTATGAGACCTGCTGACTTTTGAATACGACTGTAAATTTCTCTGAATACACCAAATGTGTGATTCATTTAAATTAACACAGCTAATGGAGTACCCGTATACGAAGGAAATGTAAGAGGAAACACATTCCACTACTGGAACACAGTTATCCGGATGTTAGAATAAGTGACTGTCACTCAGTCAACAATCTGAAATCCGGTCTAATGAGCATTCCTCACCACCAATAAACCGTTCTTGGGACAGATACAAACGGTAAACTATAATCCTAAAGACAACTATGGACTACCAAGATGGCATATGTTACTGCTGGCATTGTGTCCTTGGAGTGTTGCAAGGGAAATCAGAGAACTTATAAGATATAATAAAGAAATACCTCTTACAAAGTGCCTTTGGGCAGAACATGCGAAATGTAAAAGTATTTTGTTAGGTCACATCAATAATTTTTGTTGTTGAGTAAAGACCTTGAAACTATATAAATACAATGTTCTGTTTCTGCGCACATTTCTAACGATGGCGTCTTTAAGCTGTGGCTACAAATGTTTGCAAATATTTTTGGTCATCTTCAATATACTTGTGTTTGTAAGTTATAGATATTCAGAACCTATATCTTTATCAAGGCATGTGGCATCGCTCTGATTGTAATCGGAAGCCTTGCACAAGTAGCAATTAATAAATATTCTGCTGGAATGGATGCAAATGTAAAAGGACTTGTCATTTTTATCATTGTCCTTGGATGCGTTGTGTTTCTTCTGGGATTCCTTGGATTCTGTGGAGCATGTACTAAAAATGTTTGCTGTTTAACAATGGTAAATTTCTGTTTGCGTCTGTTGATTTTTGTATAGTATGCTATTTTGCTATCAGTTATAGTTGCGGCTGAAATCGGCGCAGGAATAGCTGCTGTTGTACTGAAAGAGGATGTCAAAAAGCACTTCACAGCTACAGTCAAGAGTTCTGTAGCAGTGTACAGTAGCAATCCTGAACTCCAGAAACTTATTGATAAAATACAATCAGAGGTATGTTCTGCCCTCCTATAATCTTCTTCAGTTTAAATGCTGTGGTTCTGAGTCTTCGAATGATTACAGTGCAACAGGACAAACGGTCCCTGAATCTTGTAAAGATCCAGCTACAAAGGTGGCATATGCAGATGTGAGTCGAAAATTCTTATTTGAATATCTCATGTAACCTTCAGTTTTCTAATATTTGTTTAATTGCCGTCAATGTCCACCAGAAACTGCATTATATAATCCCCATACTAGCAAGCTACCATTCTTCAGGATGTTAGTTCATGATGAAATATTTCAAAAAGATTTAGTTCCATTAATTTTACAGGAATAAATAAATATTATAAGTCAAGCAAATAAGTCGTCGCGGGAATATGTTGTGTTCATCTCCAATAATAAGTCTAAATTTTCGAGTCTTATTATTATAAAAGTTTTCGTATTTCCCAATAAGTGAAAATAATATCGTTTTGTTTTCCATTCATTGAGAAAAACAAAAACGTTTATAATAGTGATAATCATATTCCCAAATTTTTTCCAACTATTGGAAGTGAACTTAGTTTGGACATACACATTTCAAGTTTTATATGTCACCGATATAACTTATGAGCTTCTGAAATACTACCAGTGCTAATTTCTGCTTATTAATAAGTAAGATAATAAAAAGATATAAAGAGACATTCAATGACTACTCAAAATTATTTTTTGCTAAAAATAAACCACGTTTATTCTGCGAGGTCTGACAAGGTCTCAACCTTCGACCTAACGGCTAGGAGATAGATCCATAAATCAGTGACACACAGTATTCCTAAAATGTCTATACTTTTGAATATTCTGCGCAACGTCATCTTACCCCTTCGCCTTTCGAGTGGAAAATAGAGCTTCAAGCTTCAAGCATCGAAGCTTTTTTTTCTGCGGGGTGAAGCCTATGGTGTTATACCCAACCTCCCTTGTTTACCTGGCTTAGTTCTAGCTAGGTCAGGTTTTTATGAGTTTGTAGTCTAGGCATGAAGCTGCGGGCACTTAAATGGTTACCATCCATAATTACATTAGCCACTAGTGTACAACACTTAGCACTTGAGGTTCAAATTTACTGTGTTACACTGCAGATGTCCAGTAAGCTTAAAATAATGCCCTCAATCAAGCATCCAATATCTAGTAAGTAATTTTATGGATGGGTGTTAATGAAAAAATAATACCAACATTTAGATGAAATATATCTGTAGTAATTATTGGTGGAGTTTATGGAACATGTTAGCCGTTGATAAAATCTCTCAATGCGTTTACATCTACAGAGTTTGGTATTACTAACTTCCAAAAGCTTTGGTTAATAATACGCCTTATTAATAATAATAAGAGAATGTAATAACATATATTCTTAAAACAATCATCAAAATGATTTTAAACTGAATGAACAAGATAGTAACATTAATGGTTTTGTACAATTTAGTCATAAGACATAGAGATAGTCACTTGCTCTTTATCATAAGATGGGCTCAACTGTAAGTTAGGAGTTAGTGAATACATTTTCGTTGCTCAACAGAATTATTTGAAAATATCAGAAAGAAATAAACCATGACTTTTCTGCTCTGATATATTTTTTAATTCCATATTAGTTTTATAAGATGTATCACACAGTGAAACAGTATTACTGTTTCATTGGATGACGTTTCGAACAAAATTTATTGTTCATAATCATATCATCAATGATAATCACACGACTTCGAAACTTGAGTTTTATAGTGTTCTTTGTTCTCTCCTATTTGTCATCACTGGGGTAGTAGAATTTTGCAGATATCTGGCTGGACAGGTGTTGAATCATTCCCATTACATGTATTTTTATTCAGTTGATTCGATAAACAAAGCACCCATTGTCATCAATCTCTCCCTCCACCCTGTGACATTAGATTTTAAAACTGTCATCTTATTACATCCCACAATAATGAAAAATTCCAAACTGAATGCTGAAACCACCGATATGATTTCTTTCACTGCGTCGTGTTTCATCAAAACAAAAAATAAAAAATAGAAAAGGAACAATAAAATTAAACATAAACCAAAAAGTATTCACAATTCATAGAATTCCAGGTTAGCTTTCGACTGGATGGGAGCAGGTTAAGGAAATCTTATTTTTTCACAACTCTTGAAAGACATTTTTTTATCTTTCAGTTATAATATTAATCATTCATCTGCACGTTGTTGAATGTAACCACGTTTTAATAATTCTTTTAGATTGACATTTATACTGATGTAATGAACAAATCTTAATGCAAAAGCTATTGCAGTGAAACTTTCGACTTGTCGATTTACTTAATGGGTAACTTAATAAACCCAGAACATAAGACTCTACATTGTATTGAACAGTCAAAAAACCATTGCTAGTGAATAGAAATATACTCATTTCGAAGATTCTATCTCTACAGTGTGTCCCTGAGGAATCCTTCTGAGCATTATGTAATCCTATAGGTGAAGTAGTTAAGGAGACGGCTTTATTATTTGTGTAGATAATTGTCTCTTTTGTGAAAAAAGGCGTCCAATAAGGGTTTCAGATAAAACCTTTTCATTTTATTTCAGATATGAAGTCGAACATATAACATTCTAACACTCTAATGTATATTTTAGCATTTTATGCTACATGAATCGCTGTTTCACTATTCTCAGCGGTTTTATACACTCAAATTTGGTTTTATCAAGAAAAGACATAATCGATTTAATAGTTCGATAATTTATTCTGCAGTTTCATGTGTCCTCTTTACTTCCCCTCTAATATTTTACTAAATACACAGGCATTTTATTCTGAAATTAGACTTTAAACCTTTTCACCCCCGACTACTTACTTTCTACATTTTGAGGTGAATGCCTCTGGGGGGGCAGTGAAATCACCTTAACCCCTCCCAACCCCTACCCCAAGCCGTACACCACCCCCCGCCATCAAACAAGTGTATCTACCTTAACCACTTTACCGATATGACCAAAGTTCATATTATACATATGTCAATATATTTTCTTTTTTGATTTCAAACATAAGGTCTCTTAAAGGAAATACACTGACTAGTCAATAAAAACGGTAATCAATATCAGATGTCTAGACCTTTGTGTTACAATGGGTTGAATTCTCTCCGTAAAGTTTAACATATATATATATATATATATATATATATATATATATATATACGGTCACTTAGGTAGATGACTCATTGATCCAATGCACTTCAAATTAACTTTAGAAATCGACTATAAACATTTATTCAACACAATGTAACTATATGACCTCTTGATGTACACTCTATATAATATAAGTGGTTGTACATGCTAACTTTTGAACTACCCACTAGACTATATATATATATATATATATGTACTTCAATATGACAATTCAATTGTCATATTACATCGTTTATTCATTAGTATATCTTGTTAATTTCTTTTTTTTTCAGGGTTGTTCTAACAAAGTGATAAGTTTCTTTGAAAAGTATCTTGTCGCTGTTGTTGTTGCTGCATTCGTTTTTGCCTTACTACAATTGCTGTGTATTGTATTCGCTGTTTGTGTTATTCGAGCTATCAAGTCTGGTGATTCAGCCTGAGGTGAAGAGAAGAAGCCGTAGAAGATGACAAAAGGCGAGACTGACTGACATCAGAAGTGTTTTGGGCTATCTCACAAAATTCCCTTATAATATAAAGTTGGCAAAATGACACTGTTCAATGTGATAAAATCCTTCACTTTCCAAAACCCCTATCCCGTTCTCCACCCCGAAAAAATATTTTTTTTTAATAATTTCTATTCATCTGTCATATGGTTAATTTTTACCTTTCTTTTTCTTATAATTATTGTAATTGTTAACAAGTGGATAAAGAAAATTTTGTATTCTCCCTGCTCCCCCTACTCCTTGACATCCTTTACAGTTTTTAAAAAGTAACAGATGTAAGGAACAAAGATGGCGGAAAAATCATGAAATAATTTTGTTTTTGGGTTATTGGGTTGATGAAGAATAAAGATAAATATATTACTATTATTATTATTACTATAACTAATTTTTCATGTATTTCTATTCGTCTGCTTATTCTGTGCCGTTTTAGTGAAACAGTCAAATATTAGCTGGTTAAAGGCAAGCAGTATAAAGTTCTACCCTACCTGACCTTCCTTTTGTGCTATTTCTCAACCTCCGGTCAATAATACCCACCTGTAATGTTAAAGAAACTCATACTCAAACCCATGTCACCTAATGCTGCTGATAAGATCCAGTCCGCATCAAAGAATTTATCAGACACACTACACTAGTCATGAACTAGTGTCCACTGAAAGTATCGATTACAATCAATCCTACAAGAGGTCAGTCGCGAGCCTGAATAGTTCCTCAATCGCAACGTTTCTGACTGCAGCACTGGGCGACATGGGTTCAAATCTCAAAAGGGGATATAGGTTCCTTCAAGGTGATTGCAGATACGTCTTCTTAACAAGTGAGTGTCAGGTAGCGCTTCCTCTGGCCGATTGCCTCCAACTGTCTAATATTGACATTTAAAGGTGCACCATGATGGTGAGCCAACTAGTGGAGGACTAGTCTCCGATCAAAGCAATATAGTCAGAGTATGACAGATTAGAAAACGTACTTACTATAGAGATGAGATTTTGTCACGACTTGAAATCAACCAAAACTATCACTGAAAAACAATGTCTAATAGACATCTGTGTCGTCCAAGGGTTTGTGTACATATGAATTCACTATGTATGGAATACAGAACCTTCAAATTACAAGGAGAGTTCATTGATGTCTCATGTATTTGACGTCAACTATAGCCATTGATGAATTAATTATTATATACTTGATATGGTAGACTCTACTGGTCGCCATTTTTTATTAGATTTAAAAGGTATCCAGCCACTAATGACCTATAGGTTAATATATTTAGAGGATGAAGACTGACGGTAACATAGCTAGAAAGTTATAAGAGAAATATGTTCTCTGATAGGTTTTATGCAACATTTTAATGGTCACAAAGGGACTGAAAATCTTCACCTTGATTTGAAATATACTCAATGATAACACTGTTGTGAACAGAGGTTACACTACTGAATATAAACGCAACACTGTTTACTATTATCTTCATGGATTACTTGGCGCTGATTTTAATTAATTCCAATTTCGATCAGAAAGGGGAATACCAATTAGAGAATTGTTGAATGCTAGAGTGTACCAAAGATCTGAGTCATCTTAGTTTGGAAATATCTAGCAGCACACACACGTATGACACTAGCGTAGTTCAAACCCAGGACATTTAGGGTACAAGGTGAACTCGTCTACCTTTCAGCTATTAGGATGGTATCCACTAGACAGTTACTTATAACTTCTATCATTTCCTGATATAAAGCTTTACCGCTAGCCAATATCAACAAACGAGTACCCAGCTTCACACCCGAGTTGGTTGACTTTCCCGTAGAACCTTAATAAAGAAGTTCATCACATAGTCGATCACTAAGTGAATTCTAGTTCTCTAGGGAAGCTTTATACAAAGGATTTCTGATTCACTGTTTCACTATCCTGAATGACCTGAAATTGTGTCTATCTCTTGTGAGAAGAGAACTACAAATACACATCCACACACACGCGCACACGCACACTCATATATATATAGACATTCTTTTTTGGCGCTATATATGAACGGAAAATAATCATGAGAATTGTATCGCATGGTGTAAAGTTTATTAGACCACGATGAATTTCTTTCTCTTTTTATAGTTTTTCTTTTTTAATATTTAAAAAAAATGTATGATGGATTAAACTGTATCACATGTTAAAATGTACTATTATTTGAGTAGAATGGAGACACTAAATTAATCTTTATCCCTCTATATACATACATTAATATGAAGAGCTTGAATACACCGTATGAATAGAATTCTATTTGTTAAGGGGACTATCCAAGGTATTCATATGGGTCGAAAAGCACCTAATGATGCAGTACAGGGGGAACAAGTTTATAAAAAATGTGAACATTTCGACCCTGACAGCATTCATTGCCGGCAGCCTGTAAAAAAATAATTGACAGATTGATTGAAGCGTGTCGGCTGAATTAGCAGGAGGTGCTAACGTATTTTTTTGAGCCGATATGACTTAAGTGACTGGCTTCAATATTAGAAGTTTGCATAGATGTGCAGTAGTTCATTTTGCCGAACATGCAAAGCAAGAGGAGAGAGTAAAGACAGATTCGAAAGAGATAGAGACAGATAGATAGATAGATGATAAACAGAAGTGGGAGTCATGGAAAAAGAAAAGTAATGTGGGCGAACTATAAAGACCTATTGGATATGATGAATCACAAAGATTGAATACACCTGCACCAGCCATTGAGAATGCGAATTCTGAGCCATACCAACAATTGTCTGTCTTCATCTGCCAGTGGTTCTTACCATTCCGAGGATCCCAATCAGCTAATCAGTCTACACCTGCCTAAGTGACTGGCTGGCTTAAACTAACTGTTGTGAATTTCAATGACTGATGAAGCCATGATTTGATTTGATCACGACTAGTTGGCTCTTTTCCAACCTGTTACATGCTATGTCAATGAGCTAATACTGGCCATAGAGCGAGGCGGTCGATGGCTAGGCATGCATGCGTAACACACATCCTAATCATTTCACTCAATCAGTGTAGCTGCTTGACAGTATCGTCGGTTGATTTCTTCTCCTTATCGAGCACTCGTCCGAAGTTAATCATGAATATCACTCACCCTATTCCATTTACCATCCAACATTGGAAATAGAACGCAGGCATCTTTGATTAAAGACAGCTAACCTTTTCACTTCTTACACTTTCAGTGGCTATGTGTCACACTCAATATGAGGTTTTAAGAGACTACCAACAATGATTTTCCATTTCTTGTCACTCTTAAACAGCACAAAGTTAAAAGACGGTGAGGGATATACTTGTTGAATAGTGTTAATATTAGGGGAGGAAAATAACAAGACTCTGATGGAGATTAGAGTGGCTTAAGATCAAGAAATGTGTTCACGCTTATCACTTCCTGGCTGCTCCTACACCAGGGGAGTTGATTTAATTCCAGGATACCTGAAATAGAAACAGTATAAGTGTTACTTGATGACACAGCCCAGGGGATAACTGCTTTAGACCGGTCACAAATAGGTGTGTTTACTGCCAGCTGCTGACAACAGGCAGGATAAGTAGTAAAGATGTACGCTCTTCAAAGTCGATAATTCCTAACTGCATGGTTCCACAGGTGATAGGCAGAATATCTAGCTCATTGGTCATTGAAAAGGAATACTTTAATGCAGTTAGATGCTCATTTGCCAACAGCACGACTTCACCTACAGACCTACTTCTTTTACTCTAACCACTATTCAGGCAACCCTTCTGCCATAGCAAGACTTGCAGGAATTTTATATATTATATCAAGGTCCCCGGTTGGTTCTTTCCCAGAGTTACCTGTCGAGAATTCTTTCCGACTAATCATTCGACCTTCAACATGGAGACAGCTTAGGTAGGTGTTGATTAAATTCTGTACGAGCTTGTTGGAAATGCTTTTCATGAAGTGTGAGACAAGTTTATGATCCATATAGGATAAGTGACTGACTTGAAATTGGCGTTGGAAATCGGGATTTCCTTCCTTGTACTGGGTACAGTGGATTAAAAACTGATTTCCGAGTAGTTACGGTCTGCAACAGGGATCTCTGGAAGCGAGCCAATCAGGAACCGATTGTGAAACAAATAGATAGGAAGAAATGGAGATGGATTGGCTGGCCATACTCTGAGGAAACCACCAAGCGAGTGACATCACTAGACAACCCATTGCTCGAGTGGAACCCGAAAGGGAAGCGGCGAGTTGGTCGTCAGTGTGACGGTGACTTGGAGGAGGTCATGTGAAGAGGAGATGAAAGCATGTGGGCAGACTTGGAGAGGAGTGAAAAAGTTGGCAGAAAACAGAAGGCAATGGAGGTGCGCAGCTGAAGCCCTATGTTCCTCTAGGAACTAAAGGATACAATAATAATAATAATAATAATAATAATAATCTGAAAGCTCTGTCTTTGCTGACCACTTCCTCTGCCAGTTAGTTGGTTTTCGCCTAGAAGTCTTCAGATTTATGTACGATAAGACATAAATCATCCGGAAAATCCACATCTTCTTGAGTCTTCTGAGGGATCCTGCGTACTCCTGTCATCTCGATCCCCATGTACAATGTGCCGCAAAATCTAGTCTATCAGCTGTGATAGAAGGCAGCCTTGTCTCACACTTGTCTTCATTTTAATTACTCCTCTGGCATATTGGATTAGTAGGACAGAAATAGACTGTTAAATGAAAATGTGCATACTCACCGAGTTAAAACATGAAAAAGAAAACATCAAAAAATAATTAATAACGTTTATACTTGCCAGTATTAGGATGAATGTTGGCCGCATGACCTAGTAATGTCAATTAGTTTTTTTTAGATGTACATGTTTTCTTTTTGCACGTCAAATTAATCAGATTTCAAGATCCTCTACCTTTCTATACAGGCTTAAACATGTTTCATCTCAGTTTGATTATTTTGTGACTACATATCTCTCGATTACTTTTCTCTATATTCAATGTTGAAAGATATTTGACACTGTTCTTGGAAGCAGGAATTTAGCAAGGATTAATTGAAATCTTCATGTCTATCCTGAAATTTAAATATGTATTATTTAATGCAGATCAGGACCTTGCCTAATTAAATAGATTGATAGTTTTCTAGCCGGTCCCACGTCCGGTTAAATAGGGAGGGTTAAGCATGGAGCTAGCAGCTCTACACCATTAAACCTATCAAACCTCCAGAGAAACTCCAAAGCACAAAAAAAACATTAAAAATACAAAAAATTTAAATAACAGTCTTATTATTCGCTGGATCCGGGGAGGCGAAATGACACAGCGAATTGGTGAAAGCCTTCGGGAACCCAGTCAGCCAGCCGGTGTGTCATCTATCCATGAAAGCAGGAATAAGAGTGGGGATGTGAAATGTTCGTACAATCTAGGAGACTGCCTTGGAAGGCTCTGCAG